TATGTTGCTGTGTTTAGTTATTCTGAATGGATCCGTGAACTGTAGTAGATATATGCAGTCAGTAGGCGGTTGGTTTAGGGTTTTTTTGCATCACCATGTGATCCTGTTCGGTATCGTAACTTGACTTCTATAAAATGTAAAAAAGCTCTTTGCTGTTGCACTGTACACATACTATACATTTTTTTTTAGCATTCCTTATATAATTTGGTTCTTTGGTGTCCTTTTTTTGGAAAGACATTGAAATTTATCTTGAAAAAAGCTTGCAGAAAATACAGATTTTTGAGAATTACCCTTTAATCTTTTGGTTTACTTTGCTGGATATAGCAATTGATGACAAAATAAACATTTTAAACAAGATAAATGGTCTATGCTCAATTTCATGAAGCGTGCGATTAATTGTGATTAATCACTGAAAAAGGGTGTGATTAATTAGATTAAAATTGTTAACGTATTGACAGCCCTAGTTCTTTTATTAGTGGTAAACTAGGTCAGTTACAAGCAATTAAGTATCAAAACAAGATAAATGGTCTATGCTTAATTTCATGAATTGTGCGATTAATCACGATTAATCACAGAAAAAGGGTGTGATTCATTAGATTAAAAGTTTTAATCTACTGACAGCCCTAAAATTATCACATTTTAGAATATCTCTTTTGCCTTAACAGCAAATTTAACAGCCCCTTTCTCATTATTCAAACCATAATAAAATCAAGTCCTGTGCCACATCTTGCTAAATATTCTGTATCATTTGAAAATGATATATTATGTGATGCAAATGCTAATGCATGTTGGTCCTTTGAGATAAAAGCAGGGACTACCTTCTGAGGTTTGACAGGTCCAGCACGAGGCTGTTTTTGTCTTTGCTCTTTGGGTTCGGGTAGTTTATTGTCAGAGGTTTTCTCTAGCAGGGCGGGCACTCCGTCACTGTCAGTGCTGCCTGCTGAAGAAGGGGCACCAAACTGGATGCTATCCATGCCCAGCTCAAGGTGTTCTGTTCCCGCTTTCACACCCTAAAACACACACCCACAAAAACATCACCACTTAAAGTTCAGAATATTCAAAATGGTGTTGGTCAGCCAGCTAAAAATAGCACGTTGGAAAACAGCCTTGTTTTAATTCTTATTTAAAATTCAAATATCCTCTCACCTCAGGTGTAATGGTCCCAGTAAATGAAGTGAGGGGTTTGTTCCAGGCACTGGCAGAGGGAGGCTGGGGAGGGCTGATAGGTCCAACTATAACAGCAAGACAAATAGGGCAACCATCAGATGCAGAACTGCCACTATATGTTGTTAAAATAATCAAAGAACAAATATTTGTCAAGAAAAATCTCACTGGCCTGTTCTTTATTAATGTTTACAAGTTTCTTGAACTAAAAATGCAAGTAAACATGGTGAGGAACTTACGTTTCTTGACATCGGAGAGAACAGCGGAGCCAGCCACCTTGTTCTCCCACAATTCTGTACCCAGGGGGTTGTGTGTCTGACTCTTGGCAGGGAAGTCTACAGGCGTGGGGGCCAGAGGTGCCACAGCGCCCTCAAGAGGCTGGGGTGAGCTAGTGCTCTGGTTGGAGGCAGGCAGGTTGTGCTGCGACACAGAGATAGCTGGCTGTGGTTGAGGCTGCTGAGGGACAGACTGGGTCTGTGGAGCTGGAGCCGATGGTTGCTGTTGTCCTGCTGCCAATCCTTGCTGCTTTTTGGCAAATCGCGGCGGGAGTTTAGAACCACCACCTCCCCTGCCCTTCTCTCCAGAGCCCTTTTTACTCCAATTCTGTACAGCATAAGGACAAACACAGAAGACTTCAAATGAGATATTGGTTTGTGTACCAACTGCCATGATGCAATGCATGCAATACATTGGACTAAAGCCATTCCCTCCTTTCCTCACCTGTGCAGTCTGCTCTTCTTTCTTCCTTCTTTCCTCATCCTGCAAACGTTTCTGCTGTTTCCGTGAAACAACCTCTGTGAACCCGTCATCATTCATGTTAGACTGAGGGTCCTCCAGTGTTGTGACCTCTGGGTGGTCGTCAATGATCACTACACCTGGAAAAGGGTGGAAAGAAACACACAAACAAGTGTCAAACAATTTTATTTAGCTTACCAATAGTAAGACTTTGTTATTAAATAATAGTAGTACAATAATATTGAAGCAGTAATTACAAGTAATTTATTGCTAGCCAAAATTTTACTAAGTATTACTTAAAGTTACTAAAAATAGTTTGACTATTAAAAATTGTCACTACAAGGTGTACCAAAAAATTTTATATAGACAAAAGTCTTGAACACTAACTGGCATAATTGTTGAGATCGAACTGAGACAAAGCATTTTCTTTTTCTTTGGGTTTTTTGACGGCTTGCTTTCCTTCCTCTTTCCGGCGGCTGGGAGCTGGTTCTTTCCCAGCTTTCTGACCTGTACTAGCCTGAGCGGTCTCTGCATTTTGAGCAGCAGCACTGCAGGAAAAAGAGAAAATATTAGCTCAATAATAAATTAGAATCTGAGGGTTGTTGGAGGAAAAAACAGCAAGATAAAAGTTGTCAGAGTGAGAGACGGTCTAAAAATACATGTATATTTGGAGGGCTGTCAAGACCCTGTCAAGGCAATTATCACCTAAATCAAAACAAAGCTCTATAAAAAAAAAAAAGAAGCAGAACTCAATGTCCTAAGGCTCCATTATAAATAAATGGCTGAATAATAGAAGTGATCGCCGTGAAATAAAGTTTAGAAAAGCATAAAAGAGAACTGCTTTTTACAGTGTCTGAAGAAAACGAGTTGTTAGTTCCTAAAACAACTGTGGACAGCTATGAGGCTGTTCTGTTCTTTGCATGTTGCTATGCATTTGTTAGGGTGTTCTGGTTTCTCTGTGGTCCAAGTAAAAGGGCTCACCCTCATTCTGGTCCCTAGCTATAGCCTGGGTTGCCCTCAAATGGAAGTGTTTTGTTTAAAATGGAAGAATTCTTGCCAGTTTCTACAAGGCATAAATTACTCATTTACGTAATCTTAAGTTGGCGTTGCACAAGTTTTGTTCTGAAATTGAATTAGTTGAGGAAGAACAATTTGTCCAATCACACTCCTGGAGGGCCTACTTGCCCCAGTATACTTATCTGGATGTTTTAAATAATTTTGAAGATCCTGATTACCTGGTTTAGGAGTTTTAATAAACTCCTAAATAAATTGTAATCAATATGTGTGTGTGTTTGTGTGTAGGGTTTCTGTGTGTGTGTTATGATCACTTTTTTGGTTGTTGGTTCAGGTGGTGCTCCCACACCCGTTGCGTATTTAGCGAAGAGAAGTCCTGCAGCAGAGCTCCAGCCTTGCCACAGTCTCTCCTGCTACTGTTGACCTCACACTTAAAGTAAGGCACACCCACTAAATGATTCATTTGAACATCAGAAATTTAAGCCTTAAAATATAATTAAGGCTCTACACTAAACTCTACAGGACATTGGCCCTCCCGGAGCAGGACGGGGTACTCGAGGTATAAGCAAAGTAATGCCCGCCTTATACCGCCTTAAGCCTAAAAGTTTATTGCGTTCCTGAAGACCTTGATTAGCTGGATCAGGTGTGTTTAATTAGGGTTGGAGTTAAACTCTGCAGGACAATGGCCCTCCAGGAGCTGAATTTAACAGCCCTGCTTTAAACCATAACAGACGCTTTTCACCTATAAACTGCTAAATTAAAACTCAGACTCTTTGCTTCCTGGGACAACACAGTTCAAGACTCACCCCCTCCGTCCCGATTTGGCTCCAGATCCTCCCCTTCTCTCGCTCTTGCCTCCAGGGTACCCTCGACCCGTTTTAGGCCCATTATTTCCTCTTCGGTTCTGTCGATCCACAGGCCGCTGGCTAGAGAAGCTCCTCTTGGCTGCCGAGGCTATCTCCCGTTTTGAGATTGCCACACTTTCTGTGGGTGATTTGTTCTGTCCCCCAGAGATCTGTGTGGGCACAGAGGAGGAAGTAGTAGTGATAGCGGTCACGGCTGCTTCAAGCTGCTTCTTGTCCTCTCGCTCTCTCCTTTCGTTGAAGTCGCTACTCTCAGAGGCCGTCTCCCACTCCTCATTGGCCTGGTCAGAAGAGTTCTGATTGGACAAGTCAGGTGATTTGTTGCCAGCAGCAACTACAGTGGTGGCTCCCATTTCAGGAACAACCGTCTCTGTGACAGGAAGTTCAGGGGGAGTCACATCAGGAGTGAGAGAAGGTGCTGTACTGGTATCAGCCACCCCCTCTGGCAAAGTGACCAGTGTTCCAGGAGCTTTAGACAGCATTGGGGAGACCGATGTAGGTACTGGCACACCAGGAGTAGCTTCCCCAGCAAACACTGCTGCCTCACGTTCTTTAAGCCTCCGAAATCGTGGGGGCTTGTCCTGTCTGGGAGGACGGGCTGCCCTTGGTCTCCGGGGCCTCTCCCGTAAGCTTTGTCCACCCTCTCCAATTTTCTTGTTGTCATATTTGGTGTGCCGTCTTTCAGAGGGGATGCTATCAGTGCACAAGGTCTCTGCTTCCTCTGGCCGAAAGGTCTCCATGGGCTTCGAGGGCCACTGTGAGGACTCTTTAACAGGGGCCCGACGGAAAGGAACAGATCTGTGGCCACCTCGTTCCCTGCCACCACCTCGCCTGTTGTGCAAGCCTCCCTTGCCTCGCCGTGTGGCCTCACCCTTTAAAAGAAAACCTGGTTTAGGTCGCCCATCCTCATCACGAGGCCCATGTTTTTCAGAAAGATTTCCGGTTGCAAATCCAGAGGCAGATTTAGAGGAGCGAGATTCCGGCAGCTCACGATGGAGCAGCCTGCTCGGTTTGGAGCTGGGCTCGCGATCTGATGGTCCAGTGTCACTGGCAGATTCTCTGCCTTCACTTTCAGAGTCTGTGTCCGAGCCTCGTCTGCGTCTACGCTTAGGCAAGACTTCAAAATCTGAGCTCTCGCTACGGGTTTCACTCTCCTCTCTGCAGCGGAAACTAGCTGTCCCGGTGGCACTTAATGGCAAGTCTGAGCGTGACCGTGGCTCTCTGTAAGGGTAGTCACCTCGACTCCGACCACGGCTACCTCTGCCCCTCCCACCGTAGCTGCCTCTGTAACTCCGGCCACGGGAATAGTACTCTCCCCGACCACGGCCTTTAAAATCAGAAGGCCAGTCCTTCTCTCGTTCCACATCTCTGTCCCTCTCTCGGTCTCGTTCTCTGTCTCGCTCCCTCTCGTCTCTGCGGTAAGCTCTGGGTGGGAGATTGGAGTCTTTGCGAGATGGTAGTTTGGGTTCAGAACGTTTAGCATTAAATTTTGTCTGGTTGTCTGGTTTATCCTCAGCAACAGTTGTGGCTGTAGGACATACAGTTGCCTGCAGATCTCTGGACTTCGTTCCACCAGTTGATACTCCCACTTCAGGTTCTATCACTACTTTCTTCCCATCACCAGAGGGCTTCGGTCCATCAGATGCTTCTACAGCAGCTGAAGCAGCACCTTTGGGTGCAGCTTCCTCTTTTTTGGATCGCTCCCCTCGTTCGTGCTGTTCTTCTTTCTCTCTTCTCCGTTCCCTCTCTTCCTTCATGTCTCGCAGCACAGGTTTCTTAATAGGTCCAGATCTCCTCACTGGCCGCTCCCCTCCGGGACCCTCTCTCCTTCCAGATCCAGATCCACGGGATCCCCAGCGCATCTCTGACTTCTGCTTGCTGGGTGCAGGTAAAGTGAGCTTGTCGGTTTTGTGCATACCATCATTAGCCACAGGAGGCGTGGAACGGCTGTTGATTACAGACCCTTGTCCAAATGGCTCCTTTCTGGACTTGTCCTCTGGTCTTTCCACAGTATCAGGGAAGTCCAGGGTTTTCTGTACTATGGGAAGTCCTTCAAATCTGGGCTCTTCCAGTTTCAGAGAGTGACTGGAGCCTTGAGAGATACTCCGTTTCAATACAGCCTGTCCAATGGCTTCAACCTCATCTGCACCAGAGAGGTTAGCCTCCTCAGGTTCAAAAGAAGAGATGACTGGTGCTCTGTCAGTCTGCAGGAGACCTGGAACCTCTTCCGAAACATGACTAAAAGCAGACAAGGTTTCAGAAGAATCCCTGAAGAAGTCGCTCTTGCCCCTAGGCTCTAGTGGGCTATGGTCCTGAGGGTAGACACCTGATAGACCTCTATCCAGCTCCAGACCAGCATCCAATCTATTTTAAGAGAGAAAGGGAAAAGAAAAGGTCTTAATACTTGATCAAGTTATTTCTAACAGTGGGGTAATAACTCCATTTTTTTTATCTAAAACCTCTAAAACAAAGCAGTCTCACCTTGTCTCCTTGCCATCTTCACACCCTTTTACGGTTGCAGAAGAGGGCAGGGGCTCTGTTGAGGGATATGGGTCAGAACCCCAGACCATTCGAGGCTCATTGGGAACTCCGTGTTCTCGGATTGGTCGGGTCAGATGATCAAAAGTGTCTGATCCAGAGCTGCTGTTGTCTGTGGGCTCTCTTCGTACCAGTTGCTTAGGAGGCATTCTCCCTGATGTTGACATATAAAACAATTATGACTTATAACAGACTACAGATATAGAACTCTTTAAAAAAAAAAAAAAAAAAGGGCTAAACTAAGGAAGTGAAACAGCATTACATTAAAACATTAAGTGAAAATTATTGTGAAAATGAAGTGTTATTGCATCTTGTAAATGTGTTACAGTGCTTGGTTTTGTTACCAAGTTACTAGGAAGGAAAACAATTTTAGTTTGCAAGACACACCGGGGTGCATAGGAGGCATATCTATTTGTGGCCGCCCAGACATCATACGAGGATCCATGTAAGATTGCATCATTAGCCAGCGTGGGTCAAAGCCCATTGAGGCAAGGTGTTGGTGGTGGGGGCCGAGAGGTTGGTATAAGGATCTGTGCTGAGGGGGAACTGAACCCCCTGAGGGAGAGACTGGACCCCCTCCACCCTGCTGCTGCTGTTGTTGCTGCTGCTGCCACTGTTGTTGTTTAAGCTGTTCCTGGAGAATTTAAGAGAATAAAAATTACATTACAGTAAAGCAGGAATTACTACAAATAATACTAGTTCCCATTTTTATCATCCAGGTTCAAACTAACATTGATTCTTAAAGCCAGGACAATGTGTGAGCACCTGTTGTCTAAGGAACCTTGGTGGTAAAGACTTCTGGAACTGTTTTGAGTATCCAGAGGTGACAGAAGAGCGAACAGCAGTCCCAGGGTCTCCCTCATTTTCCAGTTGAGACGGAAGAGGTGCATCTTCACTAACAGAATGATCCAGTCTGGATAAAGACAACGAAGGCTCCTCAACTGAAAGGGATGAAAAAAAAAAAAAATTATATAAAACTAGCACACTGCATTAGAAAAAAAACAAAAACGTGTGTACACCTGGCAGATCCTTTTATCCAAAGCGACAAAGAATCAACCATGACCTTGGTATTGCTAGTGCCATGCTCTTTTGTTTGAGCTACACTACAGGAAAAGTTCATCCAAATATTCAATATATGCATCAAACCAGGTGAGCTTAATTTAGGTTCTTGTCGCACTTGCTTAGGTTGGTCCAAACCAGAGCTTTGACACCCTACCACAACTGTACTATTTTCACTTTGTACTTTAGGCTCTGAATTAAGGTAAGTTTAAGTCATTAACAAGGGCATAAACTCCAGCTGAACCATTTGATTTTTTAGAGTTACAATCAAATTGTCACCTCAACATAAAGGCATTAGCATTTATCTGATACAAAGAATACAAGCTGAAAAAATTTTTGGAGACAAACCTCTGCGAAAATGTAACAAGTATGATGGCAGCATGCAAAAACGCAAATAAATCTCATTTAAGATGCTCTTTTTTCAGATTAACAGTAAACTGTGCCAGAAAATCAAATCAATTGCACCCCAAACTACTTTTTAGTGCACTTTAGAATTTTAATACCTTTATGATTTTTTTCCCCCATCCATTTACATTTACCTCTGGGCTCCTCAGTACTGAAGTAGTCTCTCATTGGTTGTCTCTCCACCCGTCTATGCATCTCCTCTGTTACAGCAGTATCAACCTTGCTTTGGGGTTCTGGGGCAGTGCTATGGACAGGAGGGCTAGGTTGTCGGGTAACAAATTGTGGCACCTCCTCCACAGTGGGCTCTGTCCTTTCATGGGTTGGCATGGGAGGGCAGGGTTGCTGTGCAGGGGAAGGTGGTGGTTGAGGCTGAGGGGGTGGAGTTTCAGCAGGTTGTTTAGGCACAGTTTCAGTCACTTCCTGGTGATCACAATGAGCTTGTGTAATTGGTTTAGTAGTTTCTGTAGCTGAAGGTCGTCGTTTCTCCTCAAGTTGTTTGAGTTTCTCTTTGCATGCAGCAAGTCTTTGTTCTTCCATGCGGCGTTCCTCCTCCTCACGCCGTCTGCGAGCACGTTCTACTGCTTCTGAGAGCTCTGACTGCTTCTTCCGTTTCTGTCGCCATGCTTCCGTTTCCTCCTCACCAGCAGGGGGTGCTGTTGTGGGTAACTTTGTAACACGGGGACCACCACTTCCCACAGAACGTCCAACAGTTTGGCCCTATACACAAAAACACGAAGCAAAAATATGGGGAAAAAAAGAGACAACTCTGTCAAATCAGTGATGAGACAACTGACCCTTCGCAAAAACCCACCCTCCTTAGATACGGTTTCTATCTCTGAAAAACCAATGCCGCTCTCACACTACACGTTCTCACGCAGTAAAAAATACATTGCGGAGCAAAGAGAAAACTGACAACGCACTGACAGACAAGACAGAGCAGGTTACTTCTGGTATTAAAAAGTCTAAGCTTTCAAATGGTTAAGAAATTCAAACAATAAATACAGTTTTGTGGATTTTGAATGTGTCGTGACCGATCACTGTAGCCCTAAGTTCAAGCGGCACACTGAACCGATTGTCTTTTCATATTTCTTTAAAGCCCTAAGACTGGCAAGAGCAGCTTCCAAATCTTCTATACTTATTTTGCTGGATCTGTCTGCTGCTTTTGATACGGTGAACCACCAGATTCTCCTGTCAACCCTATTGGAAAATGGCATCTCAGGAACCGCACGCCAGTGGTTTGAGTCTTACCTCTCAGATAGGTCCTTCAAGGTATCTTGGAGAGGTGAAGTGTCCAAGTCGCAACATCTAGATAATAGGGTGCCACAGGGCTCAGTACTTGGACCACTTCTCTTCTCTGTCTACATGGCATCACTAGGTTCTGTCATTCAGAAACATGGCTTTTCATATCACTGCTATGCTGATGACACTCAACTCTACCTCTCATTCCATCCTGATGATCCGACGATAGCTGCTCGCATCTCAGCATGTCTAACAGACATTTCTTGTTGGATGACGGACCATCACCTTCAACTCAACCTGGCTAAGACAAAACTGCTTGTGGTTTCAACAAACCCAAGATGCACATCTTTAAATATATTGTCAAAGGCTATAGCATTAAAACTATATACACAGCCCTCTACGAACACCTTGACAATTGAATCGCCATTGGCTAGTAAATTTTTGTTTGCTCGCCAGACTGATAAATATAAATATATATTTGTTTGTAAAATGGCACAGTTTTATAAATATCTGAAAGTACACTCTTAACATCAGTCAG